AATACCTTGGCATGTGAAGATGCTGAGGATGGTGAGTTGAAGAACAAAAGTTGAGTTGACAAATCCAGTTGTAGAGTGGCTTCAGGTATTCCAGAAGTGGATGCATGCCTTACTTAGTTATGAATATACCTTAAAGAAACAGATTCTCTTTATACAAATAGTATTCAGAAGTACTAGAAATGTACAAAAATCTCTAAAACTAAGAATTTCACTTTCTATTTCTATATATGTCTTTTCTATATATGACAGTTTCTCAAGAAAAGACGAGTTGTTATTTTCCAGTTTAACTAATTCTATTTTAATTTCAGGGTTTAATGAATTCTGTGAGTGATATGAAGGATGTAGGCTGGTTACAAGTGAAGGTATTTAAAGCTCAAGGTTTGAAGGCAGCTGATTTTGGAGGTTTAAGTGATCCGTTCTGTGTTTTAGAAGTAGTAAATAGTCGATTACAGACACAGACTGAATATAAAACATTGAACCCGGACTGGAATAAAGTCTTTACATTGTAAGTAAAATATATCACAATTTCCCACCAATTCTATTCTATATAGCTCTGAGACAGGTGCTCTAGCAAGTATATGTATTAATTTGGGGTAGTAACATCATAATTTTGTTTGTTTGTACAGCTTTTTTTAATCTACCATAAAGAGTGACATTTTATTTCTGGCCATAAGTGTGCCGATACCACATCCGTATATCATGTCTGAGAAATGAGCAAAGCCAGATTTGTCAGATTCTGCAACAATATGTTTTAATATTTCTATATTTTCTACAAATGAAAGACTTGATAGACTAGATATTTTATATGAAATTATTTAACACTGAAAATATTTTATTATTGTAGCTTTGTTACAAATTTTACGAGTTGACACTTCGTCTTCTTGTGACATCAACTTTTACTTTCTTTTTATACCATATCTATGCATTTTTTTGATCAATGATTTTATTAATTTCAGCAATATTAAAGACATCCATTCAATATTAGATATAACTATCTATGATGAAGATCGAGATAAAAAGGTGGAATTCCTGGGTAAAATCTCCATTCCATTACTAAAGGTAATTGATTTGTATTAAACTTTAGTTTAAGAACTATATTATAGATTTACTAGTCTAATGCTGTGAGCACATGAACGGTTTTCGTTGGCAGATTAGATTCTTGTCAAAAGTTTCACCGACCAGCTGTGGGCACACGAGGAGACGAAAATCTCCATTCTCGTTTGGATGATGACGATCTGTATTGCAGACTATAAAATAATCGGCTCAGACACACCATTAGAATTTAGATAAAGATGATGTGTCTGATGTCAATTGTCAATTCTGATTGGATAATGAAACTAGATGTTAGTGTTCGACCAATCAGATTGAGCCTTATAATTTGATTTAATTTTTTTGTTACCTTTTAACTATTATTTGTATTTTTCTGTATTTTTCTGTATTTTTCAGATTAAAGTAGGTGAAAGAAGATGGTACACTTTAAAAGATAAAAAATTAATTCATCGTACAAAAGGTGCCATTTTACTAGAGATGGACTTTGTCTTTAATCATGTAAGTTTTTACTTTTAAACCTGTAATTAATTACTCAAAACATTTTATTTAGAAAACCTAGGAGACGAAAGGTATATTTTTTCTGATCTCCCGATTAATGTCATGTGGCATATATGATTGATAGATATTGTAACTAAGAAGGGTCCATGGGTAGCCCAGGGCCCATTCACATCATCTAAAATTTTTAGGGGTGGGGGAGTAAATATTTCTTAGGGCCCCTCCCTTAACTACAGGCCTGAACCCAAGATTATATAAATGTTTTACAAGGTCATGACTACATAAACTTTTGTTATATTTTTGGCAAATGTCATAATGTCACAGCTCAAGACTACTACTGATAAAATTGTAATCAAGATTATGTATATTAAAACAGAACCTTGTAACATAAAGGTACTCAGAGCTTCGCCCTCTGTAATCAAGGTTATTGTGATATAATAAATTTGATATTTTACAGGTCAAGGCAGCTATTAGAACTGTGAATCCAAAGGAAGAGAAATATATTCAAGTTGATCAAAAGTTTAAAATATCGGTAAGTTTATAGTTTATAATTTATTATACTTACTACGCTGGTAATATTTTTGGAGGGACTAAAACTTTTAACATCTATCTGAAACAATTGCTGTTTTTATTAGTTATGTGTGGAAAGTTACTATTTGACCTTGTGATATTTTTGTTTTTTGTTTAAGCCCTTTAAATACTATCACATAATCTACCGGCCAATTCATCACTTGATATCAAAATACTAGAGCAGGTGTGAAAGCAGCCATTACTAAGTGATGTCACAAAATGTTAAAATACTTGGAATTCAGGGTATATGACGTTTTATTTCTCACACTCAAAGTTCAAAGGATTGAAATTTGTCAGATTTTGTTTTGACCTTTCTTTTTGTGTAAAAATATATGTTTATATATGTTATAAATCTAGAATGAAAATATTAACTGTATATTAATTTTATTGTAGATATTGAAGCGAAATATAGATCGAGTGAGTCAGATAGCCCAGGGTATGGTGGAAGGAGGTGTGTTTTTAAATAGTTGCTTTGAATGGGAGTCCAAACCTCGCAGTATTATTGCCTTTATTGTAAGTATTAATTAAAGATTATTCTAAGGGATTAGGGGAGATAACTCAGTGAGGATTAAAGTCAGAGTTAGCACATTTTGTTTATCTGCCTAGAGTACTATATTAACATATTTGAATATAGCATAGTCGGTTAGAGCGTTTGTTCTTAACGTGACGTCAAATGCTTGGTTACGTCGAGCAAATGGCGGCCGTGGGTTCCCATCTGGATGGGCTTGTGAAAGTCCGATGACCTTGAATAAGTCATCTTCATTCATAGTTCCAGTCGACCCAGTTGTAAATGGGTACGGATAATCCGGGAAAGATCAATACCAAGAGGTTTGGCCATGGACCAGCTGACCAGTATTATCCTTGTAAATATATTTGTTTCTTTCTTTTCTCTCTATAATTATGTATATTTATATTTTTCAGGTATTTTTAGTAGTAGTATGGATATTTGAACCGTATATGATACCAATCTCTCTATTAATAGTCTTTCTTAAAAATCTTATCATTGCTCAGATACTTGGTGCTTTCAAAAAGGAACCAGTCGAAGATGTAAGTAGAGATTTTAGTCCTGTACTGCACAAGTCTATAAAGATCCATTTACATAGCGGGTATGTTAATCTAAAGGATAGTGAGGAGGCTCATCAGTTCCATTTGGAAGAATTTCCCTTGTCCCTGAGTTTAAAAAATTAAATTTGGATACACCAACTTTAAAAAAAGCCCTCATTGCAAACAGCATGGCATTGGTAACCCTCTTTCTGTCTATTTGAATGAAGTCTAGTGTTTTTTTTATTCAAATCTGTCGAACCTATCTATATGAGTAATCATTTGAGGAAAATTGTAGTTTTTCTCATAAAATAATTTCAGGATTATGATGATGAGGAAGATGAAGATGATGATGATGATAAAGATAAGGTAATTAATGATTTTAATTAATTAGTCGTTAATTAGACAGTAAAGAAGAGTCTTGGGATAATCACAGAGCACTGGCTTAAGAGTCTGACTTTCAGAAGGGCTAAGATATTGGAGAGGAGTCCAGGTACAGACACCGGGTGCAGTCTGGGTTGGACTACAGGACTGTTGTTTTATCTGTATTTACCAGTCTGATTGGAGCTCTGACATGACAGACTGCAATTTAAATCTTTGGGACATTTCTTATGCAAGTTTATTAGGTTTCATCCATTTTCCTTGCAAAAATTGGTACAAGATCTTAGCTTACATGTTAAAATGTCCATTTGGGAACTTCTAAAATCAGCATCCTTGTGGATCCTCAATCAAACTTACTTGCAATCAGAGTTTTCTAATCTTAGCAGACGACAATCCAACTTGCTTCCGACTGAGCTATTTCACAACTGAGCTATTCCACTGTCCTAACAGATGACAATCTAGCTCACTATTGACTGAGCTATTCCACTGTCATAGCAGACGGCAATCTAACTTGCTATTGACAGAACTATTCCACTGTCCTAGCAGACGACAATCTAGCTCACTATCAACTGAACTATTCCACTGTCCTAGCAGACGACAATCTAGCTCACTATCGACTGAACTATTCCACTGTCCTAGCAGACGACAATCTAGCTCACTATCAACTGAACTATTCCACTGTCCTAGCAGACGACAATCTAACTTGCTATTAACAGAACTATTCAACTGTCCTAACAGACGACAATCTAGCTCACTATCGACTGAACTATTCCACTGTCCTAGCAGACGACAATCTAATTTGCTATTGACAGAACTATCCCACTGTCACAAGATGAGGTCAGAAGAGAAGGAATAACATGGTTTGTTAAATCAAAAGGTTCATCATTTGAAGAATATCAACTCGCAATATATACTGAAAAAGAAAATGATTTAAAAAAAAACTGGAGGTATATGTAAGGCCTTTGCAATAATTGCGGGAACTGCAGACGTCTGATTGAAAATTGGAATAGTGCAAATTGATGCTATCAGTATCCCTGGTGCACGTAAAATAATTAAAAACCCATTTAAGTCAATGCATGTTCATTTGAAAAATGACATATACAAATATTCTTGTACATTGCAATGATCCGAAAAACTTATCTATGGAATTCAACTTTATTTTTATTTTGTCTTCAAACTTTCAATAACTTTTCAGAAAAAGGTAAAATTTTCTAAGGTGGCAGATAGCAGGAAAATTTATAATAACTTTTTACCTTATTCCTCCATTCATTCATTGTTTCATGATGCCATCTAAAAAAATTTCTTCTCTTCACAACTTTTTCAAGATTTTTATTTCATTAAACTAGAAGTCAAGGCTTTCAACTGAGTTTAAATTGCATAATAGTTTCTTTAGATTTTAACATATTTGTCAGTGGCTCAACTAAATGAGTGGAGAAATGTTTTTTTAATCATATTATGCTCTCCTGCATTCTGAGACCCCTCTGTCAAGTATTTTTTTCCTTGGGTGGGAACCCTTTAGGGGTGAGGGCCCTTGGACTTGTTTCACCCAGTCCCTATGGAAGTTGAGCCAGTGCCATATGTTAGAGAAGGAGCAACAAGTTTGTCAGCTTTTTGGAGATCCTCTGAGCTTCAATATTTGTTTTGGTTGAAAATCAAATTATATGAGTCATGTTGGGTCATGCATCTGTCCCCCATTGCCCAGTGTCATCCAACATACTCAATCTTACCACTATTACCTGTTACAATAATATTTACTGAATTTATTAAATAGAATTTTAGATTTTTGGTATTTGGTGTGTTTCTAATAGAATTTTTCTTTCTCTTATAACAATCAAATTTAGTTGTTATATCAAAGAACCAACAATAACTTGTTCATTGACTTAAAAAACTAATTACCTTGCAAATATTAGCATGTCAGATAACTAAGAATTGGCACTATCAGAAAATGTTGCAAATGAATGTAAATAATAAAATATAAATATTGTAAATAAAGGCAACAATTTGTTCAAATCAATTTGAATTTTTTCATCCATTAATCCAATTTCTTATAAATTCTAATTTTATTTTTTAAATCCACCAATCAGATCTCTGAGATGAAGGTACGTTAAAAACGAACGAGGGTTTTAAAGTTTTAATTAATTCCTTGATCCTAATCTAACACTTTTTTTTATCTTCTTAAAATAAGGTTTTCACAAACATTATTTGTTTTTTTACCTGTCTTAATACCAACGGAATACCTGTAAAAACTTTTCTCCTTTTTGTTAACAAACATGCATTTTATATTTCTTTTAATTTTTTTTAGAACATTTTTCCAAACTTTGAATTGTTACCCATGAGCGGCTTACCATGTTGAGTACAATTTGGGACAAACTATATTTTTATTAATGATGCCATTTTTACCTCAAATACAAAATTTGATTTCTATAATTCTTCATATTTTTGGAATTATAACTCCTACCTTCTTGTTTTGGTGAATTTTGGTAAAATTTATTTTTTTCTTATTAATATTATAACCTTGTTATAAAATTTCCTGGATAAAACTGTATACAGTATTTGAAGCTGTGAATTGTTTTGTTTATTTTGTTAAGAGTCAAGGTCCCATGTTATAGTACATGTGGTGTTATTTTTATACTGTGTTTATTGAATAGCCTAACATGTTTTTGATGAATTTTTTTTAACCTTTATGGTACTATTTAGAAGAACCTTGTTGACATTTAAACAACCCTAGAATACTAATAGGATTGGAAAAACTCCATTTAAAGCATCCCCCATGGGACTAGAAATTTGGCTAACACTAGAGAGCCCTGAATATGGCAGTTCATCTGATGACAACAAGTGTAAATTGTGTTGAAATGTTATGTACTTTGTTATTAAAGAAGTTTGTTATAACATAATATATTTCCTTGTGTTTTTTGTTAGATCTGCTCTCTGCTTCTAAATGTCGTTCAAATCTTATTTTATGGCATAAGACGTTATTTCTATAAATTGCAGGAAGAGAAGAAGAGTTTTAAAGAGAAGCTCCAGGCGATACAAGAAGTTTGTCTTCAAGTACAGAACGGAATGGATATGGTGGCTTCAATGGGAGAACGTGTTAAAAAGTAAGTTGAATTGACGAACAGAACTTATTTATCATTCAATTAATACTTTTATCACACAACAGTTTTTTTCCCAGGTTCATAACATGAGAAACACAGTCAATATTTGTACCAACTGTTGAAAATTTGTTATAATGAATATTTTATTGATAAAAAAATGACTTTGGTAACAGACTTTTAAGTATATAAACTAATGCCTTAACTATTTCATTGAAACAGGGCATGCTACTCCATTTAGAACAATACATTTCACTCAATGACTGGATTTTACTATTTTTGGAAAGTCTACACAGTTAAAATTATTTGTCAATCATGCAGTACTGAATGTAGTGCAAGCTCCTGATCCTGATGTGACTCTGCAACTGTGCTTACCTTTTTAAAGAGTTCACATAGGTTATATAGTATCTACATCTTTATCCATTGTAATCAACTGTCAATAATTATTTCTCTATTTTGTGTTTTCAGCACGTTTAACTGGACAGTGCCGTGGTGGGCGTATATGGCTGTGGTCCACTATCTTTATCTATTGTAATCAACTGTCAATAATTATTTCTCTATTTTGTGTTTTCAGCACGTTTAACTGGACAGTGCCGTGGTGGGCGTATATGGCTGTGGTCCACTATCTTTATCTATAGTAATCAACTGTCACTAATTAATTCTCTATTTTGTGTTTTCAGCACGTTTAACTGGACAGTGCCGTGGTGGGCGTATATGGCTGTGGTCCACTATCTTTATCTATAGTAATCAACTGTCACTAATTATTTCTCTATTTTGTGTTTTCAGCACGTTTAACTGGACAGTGCCGTGGTGGGCGTATATGGCTGTGGTCCACTATCTTTATCCATTGTAATCAACTGTCAATAATTATTTCTCTATTTTGTGTTTTCAGCACGTTTAACTGGACAGTGCCGTGGTTGTCAGCGTTAGCTAGTATAGCGTTAACACTAGGTGTTATAGTGTTATATTATATTCCTATTAGACTGCTCATCATGGCTTGGGGTAAGTACTTTGTAACTTATCACACCCCTTCGTACTATCGGTGAATCCTGTAAAAAACTGTAGATAATGTGCAAATAAGCACCCTGTTCTGAAGAAAAAATCATGTTGATTGCATTAGCTGATCAAGATCCAACCCTTGGTGATGTAATTAAATTAACATTTGATCATACAAATCAAACATTTTATTTCAGGAATCAACAAATTCACGAAGAAATTACGAAAACCTGATGCCATACCAAATAATGAATTGTTAGATTTCTTATCTCGCGTGCCGTCTGATAGTGAATTAGTGAGTTCTTCATTTAATATTTTTTGTTATCAAAATTAATAGATACAGATAATAGACTCAGGCCCCGTGTGCTATGTACTGATGATGTAAAGAATAGGCTGATGCTACTGTCCTGGCAAAATTTCTCGTATTACACACTTTATGATCAGGGGCCTTCTTCTCGTTAACTTCACAAAGATAGAATTTAGATTCTACTAGATATATTAATCTGATTGGATAATAAAACTAAATTTAAAATCAATTTTAGTGATTGACCAATCAACTGCCCAGGAGCAATAGATGTACCTCTGTTAAAAATTTCTGATAATGGCCTCTAAAGTTTTAAATAATTTATTTTAGATTCAGTATCGAGACCTACGTCCAGATATGACCACGCTTCAAGTTTCCAAAAAGAAGAGAGCGTAAAGGGGAGGTAACTTTTGTCTAGTCCATGACCTTGTGGACAAAGGTCAATCCAAACCTCAAAACAGACATATCAAATATGAATGTGCGTGCAAGTTTTTGTGCATTTTGTGTTTTGAGGAGGAGAAATGGCATTGAAATTTTTGCCAAATTTTACTTTTTGATATTTTTAAGTGCCTTTAATGCTCAACGTGCAAGATTTTTTTTTTGTCAATTTTCAGTTTTCATTGTTTATAGCATCACTTGCTTATTTATTTGTTTTTGAGTGAAATCCGCTAACAAACTTCACCAAAAAATTGGGTGAAATTTGTTTCTAGTCATTTTTCATTATCGCTGTATCTCAGGAAAAATACAACTTATTCATTTTTTCATGTAAAAAATCCAAAATCATTCAGCAAATTAACCTTCATTGGACCATCTTCTCAATACACTAGCTCAAGTTGTCCAAAAATTGATGACGGTTTGCTCAAAATTCATATGACATTGGTTTTGATTATCTAATTAATTAAAGAAACAGATGAAATAATTATAAAATATTATTCAATAATTCATCTTTTCAGTTTTAAAAATCTGAGATCCAGCTTTAATTGTAAAATGACTATATTTTCAGCTTTAAGCATTGACTTTAAGATTTATTTAGTTTTTGCATTTTTTACGTATTTTCAATTTAAAGGAAATATCTGCATATCCTTTTTATTTTATTTTGTATTATTAAGTAGAGTGTAGAAGAGTTTTACTAGAAACCCCCGAGGGAAGAGAGTTAGATATTTTAGTTTCGTATGAGTGACATTTTAGATTGAGAAATTTCAGAGAATGAATCAAAAAAGAAAGATTTTTCTTGAAATTTGTGTCTGATTTTAAAATTGGAAAATGGTAGAAAAAGAAATGAAAGAAACACTCAAGCACTGTATTGATTAAAGTTTATTATTTAGACAAAGATGGTCTTAGATCGTTTCTAAGTATTTATGATTATTTGTTTTAGATTTTTTTGAAGTTATATTGATGCAGATATTTCCCAAATTCGTACCTTTTGAATTTTTTCTGAAAGAAAATTTCGAACAAAAAGGTATGAAATTGTAGTGGGAAAATGCCTTCCATTTGTTGTGTTCTTGTTGTCAAATTTCAGAACTGCTGAGATCTTAAAACTGTAAATTTCTGTGTTCGTCTGTTCACGTGTAGAACCTTCTCGTCCTTCATGTGATTCTTTCTCTGTGTGTGAACGTGTTCATCTAATCATGAAATGATTTGTGAAAACGTGTGTTCGAATTCAACCCCTTAGTGCAATGATTTTTTTGCTTCCATTGTTTTTTTTTGCATTTTCATATTTTTGGTGATGGGAGGATATATTTTTTAATTTTATCATTATTTAAAGCTTGGGTCTTAATTTTGAAAACTTGACTGAAAAAAACCTTAAGATTGTTAAAAATACTGTAATCTGATAGGTTTAGTGATTGACCAATCAGATGACTGGAACACTAAGATAATATTAAGTTAAGTTTTGAAGAATAAGGCCCATGCATGTTATATTTGATATTTTGTGAGCTTTCCATTCTTGTTGAATTTTTTTTCATAGCTTTAAGCATTCCATTATCAATTATTAATTATGCAAAATTGTGTATTGAGAAATGGAAACTTTGTTTATCGCTAGCAAAACTGTCTTCTATCATTATAAGAATTTATCAGTGCAGAATATACAGCAATTGAAAACTACGTTTGTGATACGTAATTTACATCACAGTTTTGGTCCTTTGGACAGTGTTAGGACTCATATATGGTGCACTTCTTTTGCGCTATGAAAGTAACGTAACAGTTTTGGTCTTTTGCAAAGTATTCGCACTTCTTTTACGCTATGAAATTTATTAAACAATGTTAGTCTTTAACAAATGGACTCAAAGAAAGGTTTTATTTCTCAATTTAGATTATGAAGTTCATTTTTGTCATCAATTCAGTTTTTGAATTCGCAGTTAATTATATATTCGAGGCCTTATTTAAGTTAGCTCAATCATTGTTTAAGAATTGTGATGGGAATCCGAGGTCTGTCAAGGGTAACGCAGAATTAGAAATTCTGAGGCTTATGATCACAGGAAGAGAGTAATGTGATCTGAAAGACCTAGGTTCGATTGTTGTTATTTATTAATGGATGTAAAATTGTACATGGATTTTGAAACTGTGATTTGTAAAATATTTTATCTGACATCATATCATTTTATATCTTTCTAATATTTCTGTACATTTGTAAATACTCGATCATCCTCCATTTTACTTGTTACATTCTCACGTTTCAATTTTTTAACATTTTAATTTGTTTTTCATAAAAACAATATCTTATTCATGATTGTGAAGAATTCAGGAATAAAACTTTGTTTATTGAAAATTAGATTTAATAAATTTGTAAGTATTAGGGGTGAGAGACAACACTGGGCCGACTCTCAAAAGCACTGGCAGAGGCATCAATATTCTTAAGTGTGATGAATTCTAGGAAGTGATAGGAATTTTTGAGACGAAGAATCCTGTATTTGACCTGTGACCCTTCTATCATGTCCCCTCTATTATTTTTATTTATTTATTTTGAAAATTTTTTTTTTGGAATACAGCTGAATATGTGAATAATATTATTTTTTTTAAATTGTGGACCAAACTTTAGTATACAATATTCCACCTTGAAATTCATCATTGATATAAACGTCTATATTCATCATTCTATATACCATCTTCAAAATTTCAAGCTATTAGGAATTGATATCTTATACCTTGATTGCAATAGCAACCTTTCTGGTATTATTGAATCCAGCAATTTGATTGGATTGGATTGTACGTCAGTGAATACAGCCAATCAGAATCCTCAACAGATACTCTGTAAAAATGGCTGACATGATTTGAAAGAAGGTGGTTATTGGAGTCAAGGTATAAGTTGAAGGTCGTAATAGTTTGACTTTGTGAATATGTTTTAAACCTAATTTAAGCGAGCGTGATTATTTCATTGATATATTTATTCTATATCCACCATTTTAAATTAGGAATGAAATTGTACTATTCTGCTGAATGAGAATATATCTTCATTATTTTAATAGCCCTGCATTCGGTTCAATCGTTTTGAAAAATTGTTTTGTCTAAGACCATCAAAATGTGACATTGCAGGGCAGAACATTTTTGATTTTTAAAATGGCATTTAAAATCATCTTTATATCTTCATAATTCGACATTTATTTCAAAATGCGTTTAGTAATCCTATAATATTTCAAGTTTAGAATATGATTCACATCATCCAAAAAACCATAAATTGTTTAGTATTCATTTATTTTGTTTAAGTATTCTTTTTAAGTTTCTGACATATTTGACGCATTTATTTGAGTTTTTTCCACATTTTTAACCAAAATAGTTTACAAACACCAGATTTTTTACTATTTTGTTATGCACCATTTAGAAATGGAAAAGGGTTTTTTGTTTTTAACGTTTATTATTTTATCAATTTTGTGTTTCAAATGGCAAATTTATTCTGACATTTTTCATACATTCCATCTGTTTAAAATTATATTATTCCCAAAGCAATACTTTTTTATTTGAGGCTAGAAATAGTGAAGTCAGTCAAAGAAATCTATACACATCTGGGCCAATGTTTAACATAAACTTAAGCAACCCTATTTTTAGGTAATTTCGTCAAAACGTTGCTATGGAAAGTAAAGTTTCACTTACTTATGCTATCCAAAACAAAACAAAAAATGTTCAGAGTTGTCCTAGGATGTCCATTAATATCTTTGATCAACTTGGAATTGTGAATCCCCTACACAAGGTGTAATCATGTAAGGTCAAATTGTAGAAATTCAACTATTTCAACCAAAATGTAATAGTAGCATAGAGTATTAATACATAATGTAGAAATATTTTGGCATGAATAGTCCCTAATTAAGTATTGAAGTTTCAATTCATCCTTAAAACCTAAAACATTCGAAATATTTTCAATTTTTTGTTATTTTTTATCATGAATTGTTATTTGTTATTAAAAATTATTAAAATATTCAAATCTTAAACTGGAGTTATTTTTTTTTGTGTAGATAAAGCGAGGTGTCTAACTTTTTGCCAAGATAATTAGGTGTTGAAAGCCCACATTGGGAAAAAATGAAATGAATGGAGGTTTAGGTCCTCCTACTTTTCTGCATCTTGTGTGCTAATGAAGACGGGCAACCCCATGCAGTGTGCAACAAGGGCAATTTTGCCAGGACAGAAGCATTCACCTTTTCTATTTCCAACTGTCTTTAATCTTTAACGTGCACAGCCTGTAGCACACAGGGTCTCGGTTTATTGTCCCATCTGGTCGACTAGACGCTTTTTCCATGTCTGCACCTCTTACCTACATCACTGGGAAACTGTTGAAAAAGGTATTATCTCGACCTATGCCAGGATTGAAACCTGTACCTTCAGTTTAGCGAACAAGTGTCTAACTCACTGAGCCACGGCTTCCTCCAACACAGGGCAGACTTTGAGAAGCAATGACGGTGGCATGGCATTAGATGTAACTGTTGGTGCTTTAAAATAAAAAGGCTGACAAGTCCTTAGGCTCTTTAATTAACACACTATTCTGAGTCTCAAACGTACTGCAAGATCCATCAACGCAAGCAAATGGATAGCCATCATGAACATGCAATGCCATGCAGGGTGCAGTGAGGGAAATTTTGCCAAAAACATTGGCATAAGTCTACTCTTTATCGATCAAGGGATCTTTTAACGTGCACAGTCTGTAGCACAGAAGGCCTCAGTTTAATAATGAAAATAAGAGGAAGACAATAACACAATGTTTTTAAAATAAAATATAGTTACCAGATCTTCAGTTTATACAGAATAAAACAGATTGATACAATAAGAAATAATTTACAATGAAATGAAAAATATTAACAAATGAACTTATCATTTTATCAGTTGGTAGGGAATGAAGATACAGGGCTATGGAAGATAGTTGTCTACCCTAAACCCATCACCGTTTTACCCACACCCCCTTATCAATAAATAGATGGGGTCTCAGTTATATTGTTTAAGTGAAACACAATAGAAATATTTGATAGTTCTTGTTGAAGAAACAATACCCTAAACCAGTGGTGTAATTGTGGGTGGGCCATTGGGCAAACCCCTTCCCCCCATCCCTCAGGACCGTGAAAGATCAATGGGCACTTCATAAATTTTTCCATTTTTCAATACATGACCTTCCACCAACACCCCCCTCAGGCATTTTCTAAACAAGCTCCTGCCCACAATCACAATCACAGTACATGTTCTCAGCCCATATAGGATCCACTACTACTCATAAATGATCGCTGGGCTGGTACCGGCATCATCCCTAAACCTCGTTTATTACCCCCACCGGTAGTGGTTACTGCCCTTCCTGATGCTGCCCCACCCCTACTGGAAGTTGACCCTCCACGAGATTTAGCTGGTGTCTTTTTCTTGTTGAATTTAAACTGACTGAAACTATTTCCTCCACTGAAATAAAAAAATATTCACCAAAAATAGTAAGATCAGGTTTACATTGTAATATTGTGGTCTGAAGATATCATGTCTGTATTAAGAGTTATCTCCCTTGAGGGAGGTGTAGTTAGCCTGAATAAAGGTGGGTGTGTCTGTTTTATCAAAGCTATCCCAGAAATCTCTGTCCCTAACTTAACAGTACTTATAAATATGATAAAATAATGAAAAGATCAAAAGGTTTCCTTTTTGTTTTTCTCTTTGATATTTTATTCGAAGATAATAAATAACAAGGTTAGAAAATATTCACTCACCCTGCCGCTTTCTTAAATCCACCTCTTCTTCCTGTACTTTTCTTCCTTTTGAAATTTTTCTAGAAAAAAAAAACCAATTCACATCAATATCAAAACTTAAGATTTCTTCTTATGAGCATTCAAAAGTATTCCAACCAAATAGGGATTATTCTAACTTTTTTTATTCATTCTCCATGCAACAAAATTCTGAAACCATAGCCAGTGCCTTTTATCATAGGATTTATGTTTAACTGGTCAATTCTTTTCCTAGGGAATGAGTCAGTTTTAATTTTGTTATAAATCAGTGGTAGCTGCAGAACTTTGGAATGGGATGAGGCACGACCGACGGCCAATAGAGGGAAAAGTTTTTGAAAATAATGAGTTTTTCCAACATTTTATGCAATTTGAGTATTGTTTTAATAATATTACATTTTTACAAATTTTATATATTGTAATTTTCTTAGGTTTTTTTTGGGTCTTTGGAGCCACCAGTGTTATCTAATTAATAAGTAGTACTACTAATTTTTTACCTTTCCACCTCTAGAATAACCTGATCTACGTGACCCTCCCATATCGAGATTATTATCGTCAAAATAGGGTGAGGTCAAGTCATCATCGTCTTCTGTATCTTTATTAGTACTGCTTACTCTACTGTCTTCTATATCTAAGATGATAAAACATTTCACTTCAAATTTAGGATAAGGTTACATCATGCAGTCAATATAATTTAAATTAGATTATAATATCATTTTGTCATTTTGTTTTTCAGCACAGAAGGTCCCGATTTTTAGCACAGAAGGTCCCGACCACGTATTCTCAAAACGATCTTAGCGCTAGGATGTCCTAGAATCAATGTTAGAAGATAAGAACTTAGGACATCCTAGCACTAAGATCGTTTCCAGAATACGTGGCCTGGTTTACTTTCTAAGCCTATCATAACAAAAATATGATAATTTTGAACCCAAAATAAATGTCAAAAGTTTTTTAAATTTTAAATACCTCTACCAAACTTAATATATAATAATAAATCAGACATCAGTCTCATTTTCAAACTGATCCTAAATCATGATACAAAAATACCAAAACTTACAAAAATACCAAAACTTACAAAAATACCAAAACTTACAAAAATACCAAAACTTACAAAAATAACAAAACTTACAAAAATAACAAAACTTACAAAAATAACAAAACTTACAAAACTACAAAACTTACAAAAATAACAAAACTTACAAAAATAACAAAACTTACAAAAATAACAAAACTTACAAAAATAACAAAACTTACGCATAGAAAGAACTTTATAATGTTGTAAAACTTCCAGTAATCTATCCACTTTATACGTTTCTATTTTCTTCTGGGTAATCATGTCTATCTGATCGATCATCTCCTCCTCCGTCGCGGGTAATTTCTCCGCCATCTGCCACAACATGGTGTTTGTAAATATCGTAACGTAGTTGAAGATGTTGTGTTCACGAGCTGAAATTGAGGAAAAGTTACATGTAGTCAAAATATCTAAATAAAATATAGCTTGCCAGGAAAGGTAACATACACCCACTGATAGCTTTGATTGTAAGTACAAGTCTTTGTTTGCTGCCCATTCAATTGTAGCCTGTAGAGTGAGCACGAGTTGCACAATATAGCTAATAGATATAAATATAACACTACTTAACGATTATCCAATCATCACAAAAATCGATAGGGAGCATCTTAATAATGACATTGACACACAAAATAAAAATCAAAATCAAAAGAATCTGTAAAGAATTGTAGCCTGTAGATTGATCACGAACCAAATGTGAACGGACGGATGGACTGACGGACCGACCGATATGTTGATTACAATATATGCCCATCTTATGTGTGGCATATAAAAACCAACAATGCTGACAATCTGAAAACTCAAGATCACATCTCCCACAACATCGTGTTGGTAATTATTGTAACATCGATTGTATTTACCATCAGAAATTGTTCAACAATTTTGCTCTGGATGTAATAATAATAATAATAATAATTGTATTTATAAAGCGCTGAAATCCACTCTACATGGATAGTGCTCAAAGCGATGTGGGTGTAATGAAAACAGATGACACCATGCAGTCAGCATTTAGAAATCATACAGGGACACGTCGTAAGTCTATTATTTTAGAGTTTACTGTCAAAAACCTACCAATAGTCTTAGCAATGGGAAGTAACTCTTTATAACATTCAGACGTAAGTTTTTCTCTATCACTCTGAGGTTCTTGTCCTATTTTATTTATCTCCAGTTTCTTCTTACTGCCTGTTATATGTAGCTCAACCTGTAATAATATATAACAATATAACTAAAGATTTTACGATAATAACTTGTCATAAATGATAATTTTACCTGAGAAAGACCGGATTTACGATAAAAAGTGATGGCAACTTTTTTCAAGAAACAGATCTCAGGCTGCTGTAACTCAAAATATAAAATTTGAACTCCTAAAAGAAACCGCATGAAAAAAAGGAAATATCAACAATCTGCCTAACCTTGATCTGTCCAGAAAGAAGTTGATTAGCCTTAGCTCCAGGTCTGATATAACACGCCGTCATGTCCATAGTGGTCGTCTGCAACTCCTCCATTAATATCCCATCAATCACCAGTTTCCTTAGCAACCTCTCAGCATCCTGTCTGTTATAGGCCGAACAGACGCCGTGAGCTTTATGTTTGTTATGTCCTAATTGCATTATCTTGGTATTTTGGGATCCTAGAATGATAGTAAAAAAATATAACGTAGAAACAGAAACTAAATTTTCAAAGTTTCTGTTATGTCCAAGTAGCATTATCTTGGTATTCAGAGATCCTACAAAGAGATATTATCTCCTTCAAAATAAAACTGTCTGCAATCTTAAGATTTGATAACTTTTTTTCAGGTATAAATTCTTTTTCGATCAAATTTTTAACATCAGTTTGGTGAATATTCTATTCCTTGGTTAAATTGGCAAACTAAGTACCCTCCTCATACTGAGTCTGAAAGTGATGTTACTAATATTTTTTTGAGGAATATAAGAGACAAATGATTTTATTATTGTCCTTTAAATCATGTCCTGAAAACATTCAATTAAACCAAACACAAACCTTTAATCAGTTCAACAAAATGTATCAGTGTCAGCCTCGTTCTAGAATTAGACGCCAGGTCTTTCACACATTGTACTATCATCTTAGCATCATCAGTTACATCACGTAGCTGGAAACTATCCTGAAAATACATAACATCCAACATCTATTATTCACAGTTTGTGAAGAAAACATAGTCTCATAAAAGCACTGGCCTAGGTCACATAAAGAATTTATGATAAAACAAAGCACTGACCTAGGTCACATAAAGAATTTATGATAAAACAAAGCACTGGGCTGGGTCACAAAGTTAAGATTAATGATATAATATATTAGAGAAATGAGGTTCTTATAAATGTGGAATGAAATCAAATGAAAAGTCGTAATTTTCTATTCCCTGTTTGTTACATGAGGAAAGGGGAAGCCATACAGTGTACAATGGGGAAAATTAGGTTAGGAAACAAGCAACATAGACTAGTGTTTTAACATGCAGACTATGTCTACATTTCCAATATACCAGACACCCCTCTGAAATAAGTTCACTTTAATTCTGTTGTAATCTTAGAAAATCTAAAAAGCTTATTAACATTTCTTCATACCTTCGATTCACAATTATCACAAATAGAACCTCGAAAACTACCACATTGTGATCTATCGAAATAATGTTCACCAAAATACTGTAGAATCTGAGACCTTCGACAATCAGTTACATTCTCACAATACGCTACCATTCTGAATAAATTATCTAGATGAGTTCGTTTGGCTTCATAATTAGCATTCTTATCCACTGTAATAAAAACATTGGTTTTAAGGATTTCAGGAATAATTTTTTGGGATGAAAAGATTAAATAATTGATCTTTTTTGGGCTGAATTTGGACATTTCTACATTAAAAAATAATACAATTTAAAATTTGACTTTCACCTGGAAGGCCAATTGTTGAACTCTGATGATCTTAGTGTCCAAGTCTCAAGACATCACTAATCGCGAAAAGCCTTCTGTGATGAAGCATATATTGCAATTAGTAACACTTATTTTCAGTGGAATTGCAGGAACCACAGACGTTTGATTGAAAGTGTAAATTGAAACTAACAGTGTTCCTGGTACACATAAAAATTTAGAAAACCTCTTTACAATCTCTTAAATTTCCTACTGATCTGCTAGATATTGCTAGAAAAGACAAAGGGCAATAACTCAAGAGCATGCACCTAATATTTTAACAATCAAACTTACTCTGTATAATAGTTCGAAGTCGTTTGACGTCACCGTACGTATAATATAATATACAATGGGCAAGATGGCCGTCTCTTCCTGCTCGTCCAGCCTCCTGGTAATATCCCTCCACTGATTTTGGTAGCGAGAAATGAATAACGAATCTGACGTCTGGTTTATCTATTCCCATACCAAACGCTATAGTGGCACATATTACCTGTTGGAAAAAATGAAATAAATGAAATGAATGGAGTTTTACATACTACTTTTGTGAACCTGTTTGGCAAAAGAAGATAGGCGACACAATGCAATGTGCAATGAGGACAATATTGCCAGGATGGTGACAGTGACACTCTTTTTTCGAGTTCAAGTTGGCGTCAAGATCTTAATATAAACAGCCTGTAGCACATGAGCCCTTGGTTGATATACCCATCCAAATGACTGGACACTTTTTCCATGTCAGTATATACTAATTGCATAGGAGGGATCATGGGTTGAAAAATTAGAATTCTTATATTACTTATTGGAGAATATAGATATATATATGTTGATAGTGGGTTCTTTCCTTACTATTCCAGTCAACCCAGCTGTAAATGGATACTGATAATCCAGGAAAAATCAGCATCAAAAGGATATACTAAGGACCAGCTGGTAGACAAGATCCTTATTTGTGAACATAAGTTATAAACCCTTTAAAATATAATTATTCATTTTTTTTATATATCATAAGTTCAGAATTTGACAACAGTGCATGACATATCAAAAATTGAAGTACCTTTTTATCACCATATAACCATTGTTCCTGTATACTATAACGTTCTGAATCAGAGAGACCAGCATGGTAAGATACAGCCTGTATACCTTGTCTCTGTAGTTCACTAGCAGTTGTATCACATTCCTTTCTGTAAACATATTAAAAATTCTTCATACACGAAAACAACTGAGGAGATCATATTTTCCTTCTGCTCAACTTTCATGATTCATGACACGGTCTTGGCACCATCATATTGAATGTTATGCTTGGACTAATGCTGTTGGGCAATGCCATGCAGTGCGCAAAGGGGGAAATTTTGCAATTTTTGAACTGTCAAGGCATTTTGAAAAGACTGCAGCCCACAGGAGATCCTGCCTATTACCTGGTATAAACAACTCGACGCTATTTTTCATAGAACCTCCATTCAGTCAATAAAATCTACTATGGAAACTCTACCTTGATAAGCAATATATCACTCCAATATCACCATTAAACTTTGACTTGATTACATCATACACGTCTTTTACAGCATTCTTCGGTTTCTTCATTCTAATATAATACTTCAAATTACCACGATTAAAACTCTGCATAAACCTAGAGGAAATTATCAAAACACTTATAAAAACCCCAAAATTGCCATGATAAAAACTCTGCATAAACCTAGAGGAAATTATCAAAACACTTATAAAAACCCCAAAATTGCCATGATAAAAACTCTGCATAAACCTAGAAAAAAATATCAAAAAACTTATAAAAACCCCAAAATTGCCATGATAAAAACTCTGCATAAACCTAGAAAAAAATATGAAAACACTTATAAAAACCCAAAAATTGCCATGATAAAAACTCTGCATAAACCTAGAAAAAAATATCAAAAAACTTATAAAAACCCAAAAATTGCCATGATAAAAACTCTGCATAAACCTAGAAAAAAATATCAAAAAACTTATAAAAACCCAAAAATTGCCATGATAAAAACTCTGCATAAACCTAGAAAAAAATATCAAAACACTTATAAAAACCCCAAAATTGCCATGATAAAAACTCTGCATAAACCTAGAAAAAAATATCAAAACACTTATAAAAACCCAAAAATTGCCATGATAAAAACTCTGCATAAACCTAGAAAAAAATATCAAAAAACTTATAAAAACCCCAAAATTGCCATGATAAAAACTCTGCATAAACCTAGAAAAAAATATCAAAAAACTTATAAAAACCCCAAAATTGCCATGATAAAAACTCTGCATAAACCTAGAAAAAAATATCAAAACACTTATAAAAATCCAAAAATTGCCATGATAAAAACTCTGCATAAACCTAGAAAAAAATATCAAAAAACTTATAAAAACCCCAAAATTGCCATGATAAAAAATATATAAAAATTATATTGTATGCTGTGTAATAAAATAAAACATAATTTTGTTTCCAGAAAGGGAAATTATTGGGCACTGGTCCTTTCTTGTCATGCAACTTCAATAACTGACTTGCAGTATGACTTTATGAAACAGTTTTGA